TTTGGAGACCAGGCTGGCCTCGAACTCACAGAGATCCACCTGGCTCTGCCTCCCGAGTGCTGGGATTAAAGGCGTGCGCCACCACCGCCCGGCCTCAAGTTATTCTTGATACTGATGGTTTCCTCCCCATGTAATTCCTGACATATCACAGTGGACGGCCGAAAATAGGTAGTTTACCTTGAGACCCTCTTTCTGATCACCAAAGTCATACTAATTAAGAAAACATCCTTATTTTCAGCTTCAGCAGGAGGAAAGAAGAGCCATACAGAGAGAAATTAAGTCATTCCAAGTGAACACATTGTTCTGTGGGTAACCTTTGCCACCTACAGATCTTTAAGAATAAATACTCGCTGTTTTGACCCACTGCATTGTAGAGGCATCTATTGTGCATCAATCTTATGGCACTATCTAACTAATACACTGAAGGCCAAGGGAAAGCTCAGGTCTCAGAGGATGTGGTGCTGTTTCTGAACTTTTGGTGGAGGGCAGTTAGGCATTCCAAACTGAGGAAGAAAGGTGGTGTTACTCCAGAGAGATGTTAGTGCAACAACGGGAGATAGGATGGAGGGTCGTGCCTCCTTGTACATCCATGATTGCACAGGAGGACCTCGTCTAACCTGCAATTAAAATTGGCAATAGTATGGACCATAAACAATGGAGGACAGAGTACTGAAATCGAATGGTTGATTTCCAGCTACATGTTGAGAGAAAGCATTGCCTTAGTGATCTCTTGCAAACTCTTAACAGCCATGCAAGTACATATTGGTATCCCCTTTAAAGGTGAAGGAAATAAACAGAGATTAAGCAACTCTCCTCAAACTCTACCTCTGGCAAGAGATAGAGCCAGGGTTCAAGGTCAGTTTATATGACAAAAACATGAGATGTTTGGCAGTAGTGGTGTGCATCTTTAATCTCAGCTCTTGGGAGGCTAAGACAGGTAGATCTTTGCTAGTTCAAGACTAACCTGATCTATGGCATGAGTCCTAAGCAAGCCAAGTATACATAGAGAAGCCCTGTCTCAAAAAAAAAAGTGTGCTCTTTTTAATACCTCTGTTCTGTCTCCCAAACATTGATACAGGGAAACAAAAATTGGGAAGCTGTCACTCATGGAAAAGAATAATGAAGTTGACAAGGAAAGTGATAAAATAGACCAGGAAGTATAACCAGAGTTATTATAGTCTTATTTATTTAAACTGCTAAAGTAAAATTGTTGTGATACAGTAACTGACTGAATACAACTACTAATGGAGTGGGATAAGATTTGTTTTTCAATGCAACTAACTAAAGTAGGATAATGATTTCAAGATAGTATACATAGGACGAGCATGTTTGGAAGTAAAAACCCAAGCATGTTGAGTTTAATAAGCTTTCTGTCTAGCAATAATAATACTAATAATGGCTAACTTCAGCAGTACACTATCCTAGAGCACTGTGTTAGCACTGCTTGGGCATCAACTCACCTGTCCACACAACATTATGAGGTAGTGTACCCATTGCTTATTTGGACTCTGTGATAATATACCTTGCTAATGCAATGTAAGGTAGGAAAAGTTTATTTTGGTTCCTGCTCTAGGGATGATACAGTCCATGATGGTAGGGATGGCATGGCATCAGGAAGCAATATGGTAATAGGAGCATGTGACATCTCACATGCTCACATCTCAGTCTACCAGAAAACTGAGAGCCTTCAGAAAAGGGGATATAAAGCATAAATGCCTGCTCCACTTCCTCCTGTGGCCCACTTCCTCCAACTAGACTCTACCTCCTAAAGGGTCCATAGCATCTCCCCAAAAGCACCACTATCTGGGGAGTAAGTGTTCAAAAACATGAGTCTGTGGGGTATATTTTACATTCCAACCATAACAAATAGGTACTATTAGCCTCTGTGATGGTCAGTTTAATTGTTATCTTGACACAGCCTATAATCACCTGGTAAGAAAGTCTCAATGAGGGATTGTCCACATTGGGTTGAACTGTGGACATAATCTGTGGCGGGGGGGGGGGGTTGTCTTAATAAAATTCATGATGTCAGACAACCTAGCCCGCTATGGGCAGCACCATTCCATAGGCAAGAGGTCCTGCACTGTGTAAGAATGGAGAAACTGAGCTGAGCACAAGCAAGCATGCATGTATTCATTTTTCTCTGATCTTGACTGTGGATGTGATGTGATTAGCTATTAGAGGATCCTGCCTTGACTTCCCCATAATGATGAGCTACAACCTGGGATTATGAACTATAATCAACTCATCTACCCCAGAGTCACTTGCTTGAAGGTGCTGTATCATAGGAACTAAGATGAAACTAGAAATTCACATCCCACGTTATTGATAAAGAAACCAACGAGCTTAAGGAACATGTCTGAGGAGCAGTGGTGATTGGATAGGAACCCAAGCACAACACTTCTAGAACTGTTGACAACTGCACTGTGAAATCATTCTGAAAGTCTTCAAGCTGCAGGTGACCTTGACACCAACAGGTGTGTTAGGAGAGTAAAGGTCACTCTGCAGTAAAGACCCCCAAACAACAACAGCTTAACACAGCCTGGAATCTCATCTTTCTCTCTCCAAAGCCACTACATATTCAAGCAACCCTCCAAGACACAGTGTTGTCTTGGCACCAACAGGTGTGTTAGGAGAGTAAAGGTCACACTCCAATAAAGACCCCCCAAACAACAACAGCTTAACACGGCCCCGAATCTCATCTTTCTCTCTCTAAAGCCACTGCGTGTTCAAGCAACCCTCCAAGACACAGTTCTCCATGGGATGACAAGACAGTCTCTGGTGCATCCAACATCACCTTTACAACAAATGTACTACCAAGGCAGCTCCAGAGAAAGCAGAAGGGTAATATCTTGAATTGTCGATTCAGTGTATTTGGACAACTCTCTTCTGTCCACAGCCAGTCTCATGGCCAAGCCCAACTTCACAGTGCAAGGGAAGTGCATTCCTATCTACAGCAAAAGATAGCCATAAATACAGTGAAGCAGTAGTAGTGTCTGCTTCCTGAATTCTGCTTCTAATAGCAAAGTGGCAATTCTGCCTTAAAATATAGGGTCAAATCACTAACTTGGGATGCATTTGGATATGCATGCGCATGCTTGCTCCTAATTTCTCTCTCCTCTTAAGATGCAGGTATCTGTGCTCTCTCGCCGTATCTGTGCTCTCTCGCCATTCCACTCTTGTCTAGGGCAGATGAGAGGAATCAAATGATACACACACACACACACACACACACACACACACACACACACACACACACACACACACCCGACGCTCTGCAAACTTGCAGGCACAGAACCATCCTGTTCCGTCTGGCGTTGGGATCTGCACTCACCTTCAGTCCTACATTAGGCAGCCATTTCACAGCCACAGAGGCACCTAGACAAAAGGAATTTGACAAGACACTTGGAAAGCCGTTTAAGACCT